GAGACCTTGCTCCGTTCCTTGTTGACCTCGTGATTCCACTTTAACAATCTCACCCTCGTTGGACCTTCAAGAAGACATTTCTCGTATTTGCAAATTTCTTCAACCTCTTTGCTATTCTTGCAAAATGTAAGATGGTAAGAGTTGAAATGTATGACTGAAGTAGACTGGTGTTAGCCCCTTAGATCGTTGGCATGGCTATGGTATGCGGGTGCTCGCCCAATGGCGCCCTGTGCCTTAGCCAAGGTCGGGAGGTGCTTGGCTAAGCACCACTGTGGTGTAAAAATGACTCCCTGTGGTATTGATGATCGTTGGGATCCAGAAGCCCCATGCATGATTGAGGGAGGCCGTACATGCATGGGCACAAGCAAGCAAGGCTTAGGCGGTGGGTTCCAATTGAGGTGCATTGCAAGCTTGAAAGACCAAGTAATGGATTGAGCATGGTTTGGCACGTGACATGTGCTGATCATATGGGGCAGTTTTGGGCAGTTGTTGGCTGTCTCATGCAGCAATTACAAGGGCATAATTGCTTCAGCCATGCCTGATGCTTCTAATTGGTTCAGCAACATTGTGGGGTAATGGCAGTACCACCCACAATCATTGAGGGCGAATCTGATTGGTACTTGGAATCCTAGCAGTTAGGGATGTCAACTGCATGGCTGAGTTGACCAAAGCTGATTGGTGCCTCCATTGCCTAGGCGGTTGGGTTGTAACTGCCATGTATAACTTTATATATACATTGCTAGGGTCTATAGTAACCTAAGAGAATTTGGGTGCAGTTTGTAAGCAGGCCCTTACCCACAAATCCTTTGTGCTTGAGAAGTAAAAGGCTTGGTTTTTTGGCCAGTAATCTCATGTGCCTACTGTGAGTTTGATTCTTGCTCATTTTCTATTCGATATATTGTTTTTGTGAACATATCATGTGTTTGGCTGAGACTAATTGTTGGATCTCAGTGCCATCACAAAAGCAAAAATTTGAGTGTAATTTGCACTCTGTGACAGCTAGCATCATGGTGGAAAACATGTCCTCCAAATCATGCCTTCACTATATGTCCCTTAAGTTGGCTACTTTTTTAAAAACTAGGTTCTGGTATGTTAACCATTTATCCTGCTTCACTTTTATCTCTTATATGAAAAGAATAGAATTCAGCTTTCTTACTTCTGAGCACTAGAAAAGCTTGGCTGTTGTTGGTAACGCATTTTCCGGTGTTTCCTATTTTTCAATGGGTTACCTCCTATCATTTTGTCTTAGGTCGCCATTGGGTAACAAAACCTCGATCCTCTTTAAGCTGAGAGCAGTTGTTTTTCTTCTTTTCTTTATTGTTCATTAGTTCATGTCTCTAGCCTGGATTAGAAAGGTGATACTGAAAACTGAATGATGTTTCTGTGCAACACCCCATCCCCCATCCCCCACCCTCCAGGAAGAAAAAGAAGGAAAAACATCATAGAAGTAGAAACAGAAACGATCGACGTATATATCCAAATATTAGTGGAGTGATTTCAGATTAATGGGTTTAAAAATAGTTGAGAGAGCACACTGATATTACCAATATGCTGGTTGATGTACTTTTAAGTTGTAACATGTCCTAATCTTGGTTTTTTTTTTGTTATTTGATTTCAGAGCTTTGAAGAGGACAATGGCTACATAGCTCCTTCTTATGATGGAGAACCATCATCTGGGAACAGGCTCAAGATGAAACTCAAAGAATTTCACAAGAGGTTCTTCAAGCTGACATCCAATATGTTTTTTTCTTCTGTTGATTCATATTTAAATGATTCGAGTTTATGTTCTTTGCTGCTGCACCTCGTCATTCACAGCATTAGATAGGAATTACCTCACCCCATTCTTTACAACTCAAAATGGAGATGAAGAGCAAGGTAAGATAAAAGCTATGCACATGACTCTTCATTAATGAGTTGTTTCAAGTGTGTTGTCTAAGGAGTTGAGTGACATTCACCAAATACTGGCACACTGATGCCATCATTGAGTTGCTATGGCAGCTACCTTCTCCTCCTCTCCCACCCCCATGCCCCCCCCAAAACCATGTGCACACAGGTATACAGGTGACAGTAGGCATCTGATGCCATCAGTGAGTTACCGTGGACATTTATCTTGTGATTTTTATTTGCATAATTATTTATGCCTTTTGCAATGGTGAGATAGTGTAGGATGACTGGATTTCCAGTCTGCCAAGAAGCAAATTCTCTGGGATGATTGCCCCTGCTTAGTTTTTATAGAATGACTTGGGATTGGATTATCAATGGTTTGGTTTGGTTTCCGTTCCTTGTATATCTGAGATTATAAGTGTAACATTGGTTTCTGTTTCTATCAATTTTGCTTGGGTACTAAGATTATTGGAATTTTACTTGTACCCAATATCCTGATGCACACCAGTTACTCAAACAAGGTACAAATTTTGTGTTATTTTTGGCAAGGATAGTGATCGTGCGAGCTAGTCCGAAGATTACACTTTTTTCCTCAACCTAGCCTGGTGATCAGATATGGATCTTAAAAGCAGATGCCATATTATCATATCAAAATCCCTGGTTTTAAGTTGTAATCCGGCATTTGATGCTAAAATATTCTGAAACATTTTGAGGTTGTCTTTATTATCTAGTTGTCTTGAAGGTGAAGGTTTACATTATATCTAGGCCACAAGAAAAACATTTCATCTGGTATTCATTGGTCTACAATCTCATGAGGTATCCCTTGGATACCCTTATGCTGGGAGAATCTACATGAGGTATCCATTGGATACCCTTTCTAGTTCCCAGCGGTTCTTTGACTTGAATGGCCAGAACACATGATAAAAATCCTTCTGCTTCAGCTAAAACCGATCATTCATTTGTGATCAATCAAGTGCCTGTTGACATGTGGACATATTTTTAAACTTTGATACTCATATTTATCCTTGTCCCCAACCCCCAAAAAACAGAGTACAGGAGATTTTTATTGCTTAGTGAAGTTGATATTCAGTACGTTATCCTGTTTCCTTAGCTGCTGTTGGAGTGTATTGCTTATTGATTTTGAAACTTTGGCGTTATTATTAGCATGAGTATGTTCAATGTTTTCAGTTTGCTTATTTCATTTAACTTCGTATTTGATTTGGATAGTTTGAAATCTCCTTTTTTGGGTCTATCTATCAAACTACTAGTGATTAAAGCTCCTGCATGAACTGGTTGTTTGTCATCTATGTTTAATTCCTGGTGTGGAACTATTAGATACATCATTCAGGTGGAGGTGCAGCTTTAGGGTTACTGCTTTTATGGTTATCATGAAATTAAAAAAAAAAAAAGAAAGAAAGAAAAGAAAGCGAATAAATTTGCAAAACTTTTGCATTTAAAGGTTAAATTTGCTTTGCTCATTTGCGTCATTTTGGAGTAATAATTGGAGGAATAATTTTCTTTATCTTCTTTTTTTTTTTTTTTTTGAGTTTTGAGTTTGTTCTTTTTTTTGTGGGGGACGGGGGAGGATGTGGGAGGCAATCTTTTATTTTAGGGAGCAAAAAGGCTATGGGGTGGGTGCTATAGGTATTTTTTGCGGTGAATATTTTATTTTGGTTTGGTTTTCATTGTAAATTGCTATCGTGCCTTCATGTTGCATTTAAATGTTTAATTATCGTGCTCATTTGTGGGATCTAAGAGTAGTGACTCATAATTGTCATTAGTTTCCTTGTCATCTGATGCAAATCTATGATTTATACAGTTTTATTTACATGAATAGCACTTCTTTGATGCTTAACAGATGAGCCAATTCCCAGTTCTGGAAGAGGGGATTTTCATGGCCATGACTGAATTTCCAAGCAACACTTGTGCTGAAAGAAGGAATTTAATTGTGAAGCCATAATGGACAAGTCTGTTGCACCCTTAGAGAAGACCGCAGGGTTGAATTTGCAGCTTAGCACTGATTATGATTCCATTAGGACTTACTATACATTCTGAGTATACCATAATACAAATTGTAGCCATCACGCAGATGCGATAGAATGAGCTTTTTTTAGTATGGTGGGGCATAAAATCTTTTACTCATTGTATATTTTCTCCATATGTAAGAATTACTACTCTCTAAATTGTAGTTGAAGTTATTTTTATATGTTCGATTGGGGCATGCTAGATGGGGTGAAGGGGGTGGGGGCTGGGGTAGGGTAGGAAAGTGACAAACCTGGAGGTTAGTCTTGGGCTGGGCCAACCAAACTCAAACCATCGACGGCCTAAATTGATGCGTGTGCGTGTGTGTGTGTGAGAGAGAGAGAGAGAGAGAGAGAGAGAGAGAGGAGGTGCGTAGTGGAGTACTATTGGGGAGGGGGCTGCCGGGCGGGGGATCTGCAGTATGGACTGTCTGTGCAGTGAATGTTGATATAGAGATATAGTGAAATGGAAGGGGTGACGTGTGGATGTCGGGGGATGGTCCTGTGTTGGTCCCACCCTGCGCATTCTTCTATTGTATATTAAGGGTGCATTCGGTAACGTTTTCGTTTTTATGTTTTTAAAAAGATAAAAAACATAATCAATGTTTTATTTTTTTTTGTGGTTAAAAGTTAAAATAAAAACGTGTTTGGATGTAATTGTTATTTTACAAAATCTAAAAACTAAAACAAAAAATATGTTTAGTAACTATTTTATTTTATGACATATATTTTATATTTATTTTAATTCTTGATAAACCATATCTACATGATTATATATATATTTTTACAAAAAAAAAAAAATTATTTCAAAGAATCAAAAAAATTATAAGAAACAAATATTGCAAACAGTCAAACATCAAACACTATTGACTTTAATCCTTCAAAATGCCATAGAACGAGTATATATATATATATATATTTGAAAAAAGAGAATTTTATTCCATCAATCAAAGAATTACAAGAAGCAAAGGAATACAAAATTCTAATTACAAAGAGTTGGCTTTAATCCTTCAAAAGGATTAAAACCATAAAACTATTCAACATAGACCAACCTCCAGACCACAAAGTGCAGAAAAACAGCCCATGACAGACTGCCTAAGCACACCAAGGCTCTGAACCTGGTCCTCCTCCTGAAAGCTCCTGCTCCTGAGTCACAGACCAGCTCACAGCACCAATCTGCCAAACTAGCAGAAAGCTCCAAAACCAGAAAAAGAGCAGCAACCATCCTTCAGTCCTCAAAACCTGTACTGAAATAAGTCTACAATCCAGACAAAAAAACAAACAAACAATGCAGCACCAGCCCAGAGTGAATGCAGTTCAGACCAACAGCTCACAACATGTCAAAAATTCTGCAGAATTCAACCCAAAACTGAACCTGAAATTCCTTACAATCCAGTTCATAGTAAACAAGCCCCACACCTCAGAATCCCAATCCTGCAAGTGACCAAACCAATCTACCCAAGCCAGATCATAAAGAAGGCAATGCACCTCTATTAACAAACCTCTTCAATCTTACTGTAGGCAGCAAACTCTGATCCTTTTGCAATAGCAATCTCCCATGACAGACTGCCTAAGCACACCAAGGCTCTGAACCTGGTCCTCCTCCTGAAAGCTCCTGCTCCTGAGTCACAGACCAGCTCACAGCACCAATCTGCCAAACTAGCAGAAAGCTCCAAAACCAGAAAAAGAGCAGCAACCATCCTTCAGTCCTCAAAACCTGTACTGAAATAAGTCTACAATCCAGACAAAAAAACAAACAAACAATGCAGCACCAGCCCAGAGTGAATGCAGTTCAGACCAACAGCTCACAACATGTCAAAAATTCTGCAGAATTCAACCCAAAACTGAACCTGAAATTCCTTACAATCCAGTTCATAGTAAACAAGCCCCACACCTCAGAATCCCAATCCTGCAAGTGACCAAACCAATCTACCCAAGCCAGATCATAAAGAAGGCAATGCACCTCTATTAACAAACCTCTTCAATCTTACTGTAGGCAGCAAACTCTGATCCTTTTGCAATAGCAATCTCCCAGCAAGTGGAAAAACACCATTGACCAAAAAATCAGTAGTCCTCTCAGTCAGAACAGCAAATACTACATGCCCCCTTGATTCCTCAATACCACCCCACCACCAGACAAAACAGACCTCCCTTTGGATGCACCATCAACATTCATCTTCAGCATACCTCCAGGAGGAGGTTCCCACTTAATCCATTTGACTATAGTAACTAAGGAGAAAGGAGATCCAATTTTCAATTCCTGCAAAACCTCCTTCCCCTTATAATCATCAACCTCCAAAAATAGCATAAGCATTCAAGCTCACACCTTCATATTTCCTCCTACACCACTCCTTCCACAAAGCCCACAAAACCAACATAGACACCCCTCTGATCAGACTATGACACAAAGAATGAAGCTTGGATGTTTTGAAGCTCGGCCCACATAATATTCACAGTGGCAACTAATCTTGCTTGAATTACTAAGCAGTAGCTAGACTTAGGTTTATTTATACGAATGCCAAAAGTAGGTAGAGCATCTTGATTCGTGGATCTTGAGAGGGTTCTGATTTAAGCAAATATACAAAAAATATTTTCTTTTAAAGAGTTATAAGATGATGCTTAGATCGATTTTTAGGATTTGAATTTATCGATACCTTCTTCCTGCTAAAATTAATTTTGAAGTGATAATAAATTTTGAAGTTAGATCTAAAAAAATTAACCTTAGATCTGAAATAATACAGTATAGATCTGAAAAAATAAATTACGTATCTACAAAAATAGACCCTAAATCTGAACAACATCATCATAGATCTAAACAATCAACAAGAGAAATATCAATGGTTCCATTGAAGTATAAGCAATAATATAACAGAGGAGATAAATGAGTATTGATCTGCAAAAATAAAATAGGGATCTACAAATTTGAAACAAAAATTCAGACATCTGCAAAAAAAAAAAAAAAATCAAAGTGGAGATACGAGCAGAGAGAGAGCTTACAGCTTCGCCGGAAAGATTATAGTTTCACCGGAGACAACGGAGCGACGACTAGCGAGCACTTCCAGACGAACTAGTGAACAGAGAGACGAACCAGAAAGCTACTCCTTTGCGGACAACCAGCGAGCAGACAAATGAGAAGTCATGCGTTTTATATTGTAAGGAAAAAAAAATGAAACTTTTGCTGCTAAGGGGTTTGAAGTCAAGACCTCATTAATTGGAGGAGGCGGCATCCGCTTTGTTCTGTTTTTTTTTTTTTGGATATTTTCAAAAACATCATTTTGGAAACAAAAATATTTATCAAACATATATTTTTTCAAAAAATTAAAAACAAAAACAAAAAAAACGAAACAACATATCAATTTGGTTTTAAGTTTTGAAGATACAATAGGGTTCCACGACACCCTACGGCTCAATCTCAGCACCCCAAGAAGAACACGATACATCCACAGCCATCAATTCGTCTTTATCCTCTTCAACAGTCCGATTCGGCACTCCTGAAGCCCTCGAACACGTTCGAAAACTCACCGATGTAGGAGCCATGACTCGTCTCCTCCGCGAATGCATTGCCTACCAACGAGCCCTGGATCTTGAACTGGACACCATTCTTTCCCAACGCTCCGATGTCGACAAACAACTGTCCAACCTCCACAAATCCACCGAACTCCTTGAGATCGTCAAGGCCGATTCCGACCACATGCTCTCCAATGTCCGCTCCACATGCGATCTCGCCGATCAGGTCCGCGGCAAAGTCCGCCAACTTGATCTCGCTCAGTCCCGCGTCAATGACACTCTTCTCCGCATCGACGCCATCGTAGAGAGAGGTAATTGCATTGATGGCGTTAAGAAAGCTCTCCAAACTGAAGATTTTGAATCGGCTGCTAAAAACATCCAGACCTTCCTCCAGATCGATGCCAAATACAGAGATTCTGGTTCGGATCAGAGAGAACTGTTGCTAGCATAGAAGAAACAGCTGAAGGAATTGTCAGGAAGAGGTTATCGGCTGCTGTGGATCAGCGGGACCACCCGGCGATCCTTCGGTTCATTAGATTATACTCTCCTCTCGGTTTGGAGGAAGAAGGATTGCAAGTGTACATAAGTTATTTGAAGAAAGTAATTTCGATGAGATCTAGGCTCGAATTCGAGCAATTGGTGGAATCGATGGAGCAACAGCAATCCTCTGCCGCTGCTACTAATCAAAATCAGGTGAACTTTGTTGCTTGTTTGACGAATTAGTTCAAAGACATTGTGTTAGCCATAGAAGAAAATAATGAGATTTTAAGGAGTAATCTATGCGGTGAAGATGGAATTGTGTATGCCATATGTGAGCTCCAAAATGAGTGTGATTCTCGGGGTTCCTTAATTTTAAAGAAATACATGGAATATCGGAAATTGGCTAAGTTGACATCCGAAATTAATACTTACAAGAGTAACTTACTTTCTGTTGGAGTCCAAGGACCTGACCCAAGGGAGATCGAATTGTATTTGGAAGAGATTTTGCAATTGACACAGTTGGGTGAGGACTACACTGATTATATGGTGTCCAAGATAAGAGGTTTGAGTTCAGTTGATCCGGAATTGCTTCCCCGAGCAACCAGGGCTTTTAGGAGCGGAAATTTCAGTAAAGTTGTTCAGGAAATTACGGGTTATTATGTGATTTTGGAGGGGTTCTTCATGGTGGAAAATGTGAGGAAGGCTATTAGCATTGATGAGCATGTACTTGACAGCCTCACAACGTCCATGGTGGACGACGTGTTCTATGTTCTGCAGAGTTGCTGCAGGAGGTCGATATCCACGTCTAATATTAACTCAGTGATTGAGGTACTGAGCAGTGCTGTGAGTTTGTTGGGTGGCGAGTATAATGAAGCGTTGCAGCAGAAAATGAGGGAGCCTAACCTTGGAGCGAAGCTGTTCATGGGTGGTGCTGGCGTGCAAAAGACTGGGACAGAAATTGCAACAGCTTTAAATAACATGGATGTCAGTTGCGATTATGCACTGAAACTACGGCATGAGATTGAAGATCAATGTTCAGAGGTCAGTGGCAACTGTACTTCTCTTTTGGTTATTTCTATTCAGTCCCCATCTTTCTTAAGGATTTTTTTGTTTTGGCTCTTTGTCTGGGTAGAGCTTTGCATTCAAAGTTTCATTTCTTAAAGGAGTATACTAAAATTGCTAGTTCATACAGAACACAATGTGGTCTTGGCTTGCTTCTCTTTCCATATACAGATTTTATTTAATGGAACATAGACCTCTCTCATTTCTGGTAATATTTTAGGGACCATGTTTAGCTTGGGTACTAAATTAAGTCCCAACATCAATTTGAAAACAGTGCCACATGTTATATTTCTGGATAGGAACTTTTAGGTGCTCAACTGCTACAGTTTGAACCATGTACAACGTGATGAGGCCTTTCTATACTTGTCCTCGTGGACGAGAAGGCATACCTCTTAAACACTAAGCACAAAACCACAAAAGCAGAGTTAAGAACACTCTAGACTCACTACAACCCAGACTAGCTGAATAACACCTCATGAAAAGAAAATCTGTACAGCCCCACATCTTAAGTCAGCTACTTGTTGACCTCAAACATCAAAAACTTTGTCAAAACTGAAATCGTGACAAGCTGAAAGATAGGTGGAGGTCCCTAGCCCATGCATATAGCATCTCCCTATAGGCTTTCATTGAATGGCAATATTCCAGCACTGACATACAAGTTATAAAACTCATGCATCCTGTCAAGTGATATTATTAAGACTAGAGATCCTTCCCCAATATTCTTAGCAATATCTGACAATCGTAAGGTTTAGTGCCATGCAAGTTCTGGTGCAAATATGATTGCTTCATCTTTGTGTATCTTAAAAAGGTAGCGGTGGAGATTAAGATTGAACAAACATGTTTTAATGTGCACTTTGAAGGTTTACATGGAGAGTTGATTCGTACAATGGAATGGAATCTATTTGGATCATTCTCATGCTCATTGAATATGGATTTTGTGAGATGGTTGATGGATATGTTTAATGCAGCTTTGTGTTGGAATAGAAAGAATGCATTCTTAAGGAAATATAGGAAGGATGGACATTGTGTGTGGATTGAAATGGAAAATAGTAGGTTCGGGGAGTTTACGGGAGTTACTCAGATGATGAATAATGGTAGGAGAAGGGGGTTGATTATTCCTAAAAGTATTAAAGGAAGGGGTTAGGAGGGACATTGTGTGTGGATTGAAATGGAAAATAGTAGGTTCGGGGAGTTTACGGGAGTTACTCAGATGATGAATAATGGTAGGAGAAGGGGGTTGATTATTCCTAAAAGTATTAAAGGAAGGGGTTAGGAGGCTTTTTGAATATTGTTGGAGGATGTTCATGGTGGTTGATATCCTTTTTTAAAGGAGAGGGAAAATAGGGCATGGGTTGAGGTTCTCAAACCCAAAGATGCTAAGACTTTTAAGGGTCATGAAGTTCTATTAAAAGAAGAAGAAAGATGGAGATGTGTTCTGGTATGTGTTAGGGACTATATATGTGTCTTGGAAGATAATACAAACTTCTTTGTTAAGGTTCTGAAAATGATTATAAGGTTACGAGCTTTTCAAGCGGATAAAGCTATCTTCTTTTGTGAAGATAGCTTGTAGGCAAAGAGGATATGTAAGAATGAAAGAGTTCATCTGAAAGGATCTGCTACATTGAAGCTTCAGTGAGGTGTCATGAGTCCAATGTCACTAGAAACCAAGTGTTGTATTTTGGGAGGTTGGAGCAGTAGAATGTTTAACGTTCCATTTGTGGCGACGTAAAGACTTCAAGAAGATTGGAGATTGTTGTGGGGGGTTTATTGATGTTGATTGACAAACTAAAAGTCTCGATAATTTGTTTGAGCTCGAATCTTAGTTTGTAAGCCTCAATCGGGTCTACTCTAGACGTCTTTCAAAGTTGATTTTAACTGGAAGTCTTTTTCCATTAGGATTAAGGTCTTCTTGAGTATGAGTAGACTTAGTCGCAACATGAAACAGAGGTTGTCTGGGGAAGGTAGTTTAAAAAATTAGAGCGATAGGCGAGAGGTTGTTGAAGAAGTCAAAGGGATTGGGAGGAATATGTGGTAGTAGTAGGGGGAGAGGTGACGTGTGGTTTGGTCCACAAAAGGTTAGAGTAACTATACATATTTGGTGTTGGTTGAGTGGATAAGCTAAAATTAATGGATTTGGACTAAGACTTAGGTAATAAGAAGATGCGTAATCCAAGAATGAAGTTTGTTAAATTTGGCACAAGGACTGAGAGACTATTGGGTCAAGTGGGCTGAAGGTGGCAGAGAAAGATAATGGGCCTGTGAAGATGGACCCTTTTAAACCAAAAATCTGGGGGATTTGAAGAAGAAAGTGAGTCTGGACCATAGCCCTTTGGCTGTTCATTTTGAAGAAGAAATTCCCATTCGAAAATGTCCTTTTACATATTTAGGGTGTCCAGTTATAAAGGGCAGGCCTAAGTTGATTTATTATGAGGATTTGTTGCAGAAGTTTAGATCAAGACTGGAAGGGTGGTATGCAAAGCTGTTATCTAATATGGGAAAGGTTGTACTGGTTCAATCTGTTCTCAGTGCAATACCTGTGCATCTCTTAGCTTGTATGAATTTGCCAAAGGGCATTATTGCTTGAATGAATTCTATTATAGCATCATTTATTTGGTCTAGTAAAGCAGCAGTAAGAAAGAGGCATTGGTGTTCATGGGCTAAGCTGACTGTTCCAAAGGAGGAGGGAGGTCTTGGATTGCGAAAGTTTCAGGATGTTTCTAATGCGCTACATATGAAGCAAGTTTGGAATTTGCTGCATGGGTCATATATATGGTCCAAGATTTTTTCTGTTAAATATCTTCGTCAGCAGCATGTGTTAAGAAATTGAAGGCATTCCTACTCAAGGAGTTATAGGAATCTGTTGTCATGGTTTGAAGAAGTGGTCTCAAACACACAAATGATACTGGGGAATGGTGCTAGAATTGATTTTTGGTGTGATAATTGGACAGGTCAAGGTCCATTACTATTGAGGGTGTAAGAGTTTCCACAGGTTTTTCCTAAGTTGAGAGATGTATTTTGTAATGACCAATGGAATTCTGAATCTTGTTCAGAGCTGACTGAGGAGTTAATTTCAGAGATTTCCTCATTGCAAGTCACATATTATGATAGGCAGGATCGATTGGTATGGACTCCATCTTCAACAGGCAAATTTACTGTTCAGTCTGCTTGGCCGATTATTAGGCATCGAGAGCAAACAAGTGATTTGGCTACACTTATATGGAAGCAAAATACTGCTACTTCTGCTCAGCTCATTACTTGGAAAATTTTCAAACATGCTCTCCCTATGGATTCCAATTTTGTGTCTGTTGGTATTGTGATGGCAAGTAAGTGTTCGTTATGTATGATGCAGTCGGAGTCTGAGGAACATTTTTTTATCCAATGTCCATATGCCCAAGCTGTGTGGGCTGCTATTTCTTCTGCTATGGGTTTCACATTGGTAGCTGGTGAAGGCCCATTAATGAGGTTTAGAAGATGAGCAAGAATTTATAAAAAGCAGTCAATGTGTCATGGATTAATTAGAGGAGTTCCTTTAATTATTTATTGGCAGCTTTGGACTGAAAGGTGCAGGCGACAATTTGAAGGGATTAAGCTTCATTCCGCTGCTTTAGTTTTCAAGATCATGCGGATTGTAACCTATCAAAGCTATGTCGTAAGGCCTAAAGTTGTGGATTCAAGGAAAGGACAAATTCTGCTGTCATCTCTTAATGTTAATCTTTCTCCGATTAAGGCAAGAGCTGTATGGGTGTCTTGGTCTCCTCTGCTGGATGGTACCTTAAAGCTTAACGTTGATGGTTCAGCTAAGGGGAGCCCAGGTTGGTCTAGTGGTGGAGCTGTATTGCGAAATCAATGGGGCCAGTTGATTATTGCAACTTCCAAATTTTATGGAATGGGAACTAATATGGAAGTTGAAATTAGAGCTTTATTAGATAGATTAAAACTTTTTCATCAGTTTGGGTTGTCTGAGTATAAGGTGTTGATTGAGACAGATTCTAAAATGGTAGTTGATATGGTTAAGGGGAGCATTGAGTGTAACTGGAGATATTTGACATTATTTTATAAGTTGGAGAAGCTTCTTAGCAATTTGAATTTTTGAAATTCGGCATGTCTATCGTGAGGCAAATTCGGTTGCTGATTTTCTAGCTAATAAAGGAGTTCAAGATCGTATGGACACGGAGATAACTTCTGCAGATTCCTTGCCATTTGAAGCTCGGTTTCTCCTTCAGCAAGATCAAAGGCAATATAGATTGTTAAGGAGAAAGAATTTTAAGTGTTAATGCACACTTTGTAGTTGGAGTGGGTTGTTTTGTCTGGAGTGCGCTGCTTTGACTGGAATGCTTCAGCAAGAACTACATCTGGATCGTTTAGCTGTATTTTTCATCTGCTGCAGCTGGACTTGCATTTCTGCAGGAATTTCAACAGTTTCAGCAACAAATCTGGACTGTTCAAGGCACTGTTCAGCTGGACTGTTCAGCTGAACTGTTCATGACACTATTCACGCACTGTTTAGCTGATTTTTTATGGACTGTTCAGCTGGTTTTTTGTTCAGCTGGATGTTTTGATGGACTGTTCAGCGTGATGTCTCAGCTGGACTGGTTCAGTAGGATTGCAGCAGGTGACTTTTCTTTAACTGAGGCTTTGTGAATGACTTTGTTTCAGCTTGGAGATCTAGGCAGCAAGGAATTCTTCTTAAATTCAGCTCATTCAATGCAGCTCAAAAAAAAAAAAAAAAAGGGTTTAGGGTTTTGGGGTTTGGGGTTTGGAGTTTGGAGTTTTGGGTTTAGGGATCGGGGTTGAGGGCTTTGGGTTCTTGAGTCTTGGGTCTAGGGGTGTTGGGGTTTTGGGTTTAGGGTTTAGGGGTTCAGGGTTTCGGTTTGGGGTTTGGGATTTCGGGGGTTTAGGGCTTCGGGTTTGGGGGTTGGGGTTTGGGGTTTGGGGCAGGTGTAAGTGTTAGTCCATCCCCACTTCCATCCTCAGTTCCATTCCCGTGCAGGTTTATATGGGTATTCCCATATATGTCTACAATCTAATACGTATGGTCCATCTCCGGTTCAAACGAGGTGGTGGATTCGGACGAATATCCATTTTTTTTTTTCTGATTCACTGTCATTCCTAGTGAACATGCCCTAAATTGCTGATAGAATAGAAAACGACTCTAAAATCAATTCATTTTCCCAAGCAGAGTGACACTATTGACAGCCTTCAGAATGGCCCGTCTAGTATTGATGTGGGTTCTTTGGTTCCCTAATATGCTTATCCATTCATTTTTGCAATGCCTTGATGCTCAGTTCCCATTTTTAAATTGGGCAAAATTTTGAATAATCCTTTATATTATCTTTCTAATTCTCTCTGTTGTGGTTATGTGATAGACCTCCAATATTTTAAGTATTCATTTCGTCTATTGGGTTTGTGTTGATCCGACTCAATTTATGGTTTCAGGTATTCCCTACACCAGCGGATAGAGAAAGTTAAATCCTGTTTGTTTGAATTGGGCGAGATGAGCAACAATTTTAAGAAAACCTTAAATGTTGGATTAGAGCAACTTGTAGCAACTGTGATGCCCTGAATCCGTTCAGAATTAGATAGTGTGGCTACCATTAGCTACGAGCTATCTGAAGCTGAATATGCTGACAATGAGGTGAATGATTCATGGGTCCAAAGGCTTCTCCATGTTGTTGAGATCAATGTAGCATGGCTTCAGCCGCTAATGACTTATAACAATTATGACTCATTTGTTCATTTGGTCATTGACTTCATTCTAAAAAGGCTTGAAGTGATCATGATGCAAAAACGATTCAGTCAGCTTGGAGGTCCTCAACTTGACCGAGATGCTAGGGCTCTAGTAAGCCATTTCTCTAGTATGACACAGAGAACTGTTAGAGATAAATTTGCTCATTTGACCCAGATGGCTACTATCCTAAACTTAGAAAAGGTATTTGCAATTCTTGATTTCTGGGGTGAGAACGCAGGACCCATGACCTAGAGATTGACTCCAGCCAAGGTGAGGAGAGTGTTGGGTCCGAAAGTTGATTTTAAACCTGAAGCAATAGCTGCTCTTAAATTGTAGTTCCCGTCTGTCTAGTTTACAATGTTTTTTTCTCGTCAGATCCTTTTTCCTTTGTATTACTAAGTTCCAATTTCATGTTGTTGTAGATGTACCAATTATGACTTCCTTTATTTTTAAGAATTTATTCTTTTTTCATTTAGTAATAAAGTTTCGTTTTTGATCCTTTAAAGTAAAAATAAGATTTTAATTTCAATTTTAAAATGAAGGTCTCAAACACGTACTTACCTCATTTTTTAGTTCCCATCCTTGTGAAGTTAATAATATAGATTAACTAGTAACGTCTTTGTGCGATGCACGAAATTATATCTCATTGTCTTTCGTTAACTTTTTCACTATCTTCTCTGTCCTATCCTACCATTTAAATAGTAAAGAAGTTCAACCAATAATTGTAAAAACTTGGGGTGATAGAAAGTAATTTAAAAAAAAAGTTAAATGAAGAGTAATCAGTTAGTGAAGGGGTAATTATGTCAGATGATGAAATGGAAATCAACGATGAGAACTCCTTT